CTCAAACTCAAAAAGTTAACTCAAAGAGGCAGCTTTATTGCTGTAGCAATAAAGAGCGCGAACTAAAACTCTGGAAACTACAGACATGGCACCAAATTGGGGAAAACTAGAACCAGGACTAGGACTCTTCAAGGAACACAGAGGAAACACACAGCATATCAAATTACACAGAATGAGACAGAGGACGCAAGGCTAAACATAACACATGAGACAAGGTACCTTCAAAGTAAGAGAAGAAAAACAAACATGGTGCACACAGACAGGAACCTACCAAAGTAAAACAGGAAGCAACAGGAAGCAACAGGAACATGCGTACAGAGACACAGACAGACACACAGAGACATGACTGGGGAAACATGGATAAACATGACAGTCAGCGGGGAAAAGAATGAAACACGAAGACGGAAGCAAGACACATGAACTCACAAATATAAACACAGACATACAGAAAGAGACACAGAGGGCAAACACAAGAGGGAATCGAATAATCAAAAGCTAAACAGAACAACGATGGCACTATAGAATAAACTCAAGACAAACAAAGTGGACATAAATCATAATACAAAATGACAAGTATTTTGTAGTTGCTGCTTGTTGGTGTCTAAAAGCCGCCTGAAATTATTTCCAGGCGGCTCATTACAGCCATATTGCGTGTCATATGGGTTCTGTTAAAACTATGGAGCGAATAGTGGCCCGGTTTTATTGGCCCTGCATTGGGTGGGCCAATAAAACTGAAGAAATCCTAATTTAAAAATAAATAAATAAATAAATAAATAAAAAAGTGGTTAGCACTGTTGCCGCACAGCAAGAAGGTCCTGAGTTCAATTCCAACATCAGGCCGGGGTCTTTCTGTGTGGAGTTTGCATGTTCTCCCCGTGTTTGCGTGGGTTCTCTCCGGGTACTCCGGCTTCCTCCCACCGTCCAAAGACATGCAGCTTGTGGGGATAGGTTAATTGGATAATCCAAATTGCCACTAGGTGTGAATGTGAGTGTGAATGGTTGTCTGTCCTGTGTGTTGGCCCTGCGACAGACTGGCGACCTGTCCAGGGTGTACCCTGCCTCTCGCCCTATGACAGCTGGGATAGGCTCCAGCGCCCCCCGCGACCCTGAAAAGGATAAGCGGAAGCGAATGGATGGATTGGATGAAACAACATTTATAGTCAAAACAATATCTTGATTTACATTTTAGAAGCACCGTAAAGATCTGAAACCAATAAAATTCAGTTCTTTTAAGATATTTCTTGCAGCAGAAACAAGACACCAGATCACACACATCACACAAACATGATCATTACATTCGGAACGAGCCTAACACACAACACAACGCCAGGTCTGAACATCACCAGCATTAATTTCCACACGTCACACACACTCAGTTAGTTCCTCTTTCTTTTTGTCGTCAGATTTCCGGTGCAGCTCTGCACTAAACTTCCTCTTTCTAAAGTCTGTTGCAGGGCAACCTGTCACCCTCTGACCTAGTTTTTGTCTCGTCTGAGCTTAGTTTCTAAAGGCCTCTCTTATTAAAATACATAAAACAATATAATCAGAAAATAAGCATTAAAAATATATATCCACATCCCAACACTGTCCCTCAGTCTAATGGGCCGGTGGAAAGGCTGAATAAAACTTTAAAGTCCACGATCCGTAAGTTAATTCACGAGGATGAATGCAATTGGGATTGCTGGTTAGACCCTCTGTTGTTTGCAGTGCGGAATCTGCCCCAGGCCTCAATGGGATTTTCTTCCTTTGAATAACTGTTCATCCGGAAGCCATGGGGGTTGTTTGACCTAATTAAAGAAAACTGGGAGGAAGGTAAAGATAAAGTGCTTGTATTACTCCTTTATTCCAGGTCAAACTTACTCACCAAGTGGCAAGGACCCTTCGTGGTCACATGGCGAGGGGGTGACGTAGACCATGAAATGGTATGGTCACACAGGTATAACACCTCAACCTCCTTAAAGCACGGAGAGAGGCCGAAACAGCTTCTCTGCTGACATTTGTCACACTTCCATTCGGTTTGTTCGGAGCCCCAGCCACTTTCCAGTGCTCATGGACCAGGACATGTCCTTCAACGCACATATTAAACAAATATGTAAGACTGCTTTCTTCCATTTGCGCAACATCTCTAAAGTTAGAAATATCCTGTCTCAGAGTGACGCTGAAAAACTAGTTCATGCATTTATTACTTCCAGGCTGGACGACTGTAATTCATTATTATCAGGATGTCCAAAAAACTCCCTGAAAAAACTTCAGTTAATCCAAAATGCTGCAGCAAGAGTCCTGACAGGGACTAGAAAGAGAGAGCAGAAAAAAGTGTTGAGACAGTTCTTTGAAAAACCTGATCAGCCCCTTGACTGATCTCACCTGGAAGGGTGCCCCAGGTCGAGGTAGCAGTGCCAGGCGGCATTCGTGCAGGTGAAGTAGGCTCTCTGTGGGGAACACCTGCTTCACACTCCTATTTCTCCCTCCCTTTTATTCTGCCTATTGATGCCATGAACAGAGGGCTGGAGGCCATTTTGTCCCGCAGGTAAAGGGAGTCACTGCCCTGCGGTCCATATCAGCAGGAAACTGTCAGAGCGTGAATCTTGGTATAGCATTGTTGAGTGCCTGGCCATTCGGTGGGCGGTTGTCGCTCTTTGCTATTATCTCCCGGGCTCCCGATTCACCCTCTAGAACAGGGGTGCCCAATCCCAGTCCTCGAGAGCTACCGTCCTGCAGCTTTTAGATGCATCCTTGTTCCCACACACCTGAATCAAATGAATGGCTTGTTATCAGGCCTTTGCCAAACATGATGGCATGCTGAAGAGATCAAACCATTTGATTCAGCTGTGTTGGAGTAGGGATGCATCTAAAAGCTGCAGGACGGTAGCTCTCGAGGACCGGGATTGGGCACCCCTGCTCTAGAACATCCCACGAAGATTCAGAAGCAGATTTGCGATGCAAAAACGCGTCAGTCCCGCTACTTGCTCGCGCGAATAAAAATACGCGCGGCTGTTTGTGTGTTGCATTTTGTGCATTCGACCGTATTGCGTTTACCGCTCAAGTTGGAAAAATCGGAACTCCAGCGTCAAGTCACGCTGCGACAACCATTTAGGAGCCTGGTGACGTGATTCTCTGACCTAGGTCAAAGGGGCAGATCCAGCCAAAGCCCTTCATTCTTCATTCAATATGGAGGAAAGGCTCATCTACGCCGTAGCAAACCACCTGGAGCTGTAGGACACCAGCTGCTTTCTCTACCGAGAATTTAAATATTATTTCAAATAAATTTTTGCAATGACTTATGTCTCAGTTCTACTACACAGCAAATATTGGCACACAACTTGACACATGTAGAATTCATTTCATATTATACTAATGAATCATGCTCACAGGTGTACACACGGGTGCTCACACACACAAACTACACCCTTTTTGGCTCCTACCTCAAAGCACACTGTGTGCTGTCGATCCTACGTGCTGCACAACAATATTCAATATAATACTGTTATATTCACAAAGATCATCGCGATGATGTTGTTTATTATATTGCTCTTTTTTTTTTTGCTTGTTTTCTCTTTTTTCTTTCTCAGCAGGTGATCCAGGTGATTCTTATTTTTTCTCTGTTTGTTTTGTTGGTTTTTGTATTTCTCTTTCTTTCACACCTTTTCACCCTTTTCGTTCCCCCAGTCATGTCTGTCCCGTGTGTAGCGAGTGAAAATAAAATACAATAAAATAAACAATAAAAGCAAAGGTGAATCAAATAGACCATTACGGTAAGGCTGGGATGGTCCATTTGGTAAAGTAAATCCGTTGGGCATCTTTCTTTGCCTTTAGACAATAATTCTGCAAAAGAACCAAATGGGACACCTTGTCCCACCTTTCTGCAGCTTTGATAGTTGGCTAACCTCCCTCAGTGCTACCTTGATCTTAACCTCTAGCCTCCTTCTCCATGGAGGGTACTGCCCCTTGTAGCCACGCATCTCACTTGTCACTGCTGCCATATTGTAAATCAGCTTGTTAGTCTTGGTAATGATGGCTTTAGGTATCATTCGTAACATCATCTAGCAGACCTTCTGAGGGTACTTCATGTAGTCTGGGTAACCGCCTATGGGGGGTCCAGGTTTGATCTCATCTTTCAGGTCAGTTCCTCTCACACTCAACGATCCTTCTCCTATCGCACTTGGCCTGGTACCCAATCTCAGGTGGGGGTGATGATATCTCCCCCTTGACCTGGCGTCCTGACTCCTCCTTGCCGTGGCATTTATGTTGTACCTCATCAATCTCTAGCTGTGAGAGCAGTCCCTTCTTTCGAATGTTGGAACACTGAGCTACTAGTTGTTTCGTCGTCGTGGATGTTGGGTATCGAAGAATCCATAGGTCCCTCATCCTATTCATGTAGCCCCTTCTGCCAGGGTTACTTGCGTAGTAGCATGCCAAAAACGCCCTGTTTTGGCTCTTGCTCACCGATAGCTTCTTGTTCCAGTAGCCCATTTCTTATCAGGGTGCCGTGGTTCCTCATCACCTGACGCGGACCTTATTGAGCCGGGCGACGTCCGAGCCAGCATGCCTTCATATTCATCTATCATGTCTGCAGTAGGCTCGCTTAGCATTGGGGGTCTAGCCTTAGGACCCTTACTGGATGCAGACACCCCAGGCGGGAATTGAACTTGCGATCCTCCACTCCAAAGACATGTAGTCTAACCATATATATATATATTTAACGTATTGTATTATTTAATGTATTGGTTGGGGTGAAGAAACATGGGTGTGCTACCAATTTTCATACCTGTTATGAATTCTAATTTTCAACATTTTTTATTACATGACTGCATTTTCTCTGAAGTCCGTAATTTAATTTCAAGCTTTATTACGTTACATAAAATTGAGAGCACAGGACAAAATAAAAAGCCTGGTCTTAAAAAAATATAAAACCTTAATTTTTACAGTTAACATTTATTCAATCTTTAGCAAAGAGTCAAAAAACAAAAAGAACTTTCTAGATACACTTGCAGAGGGAGTGTGTCATGATTTATGACACAATTAACATATTAATAATGCTAATGATAATTAAGTTAAGATCTTAACTATATTTAGTATTAATACTAAAAATACTTTTGAATCATACTTGAGTCACACTTTTGTTGTTGTTTTTTCTTTTGCATGATATTTATTTTGTTTTTGCATGTGAAAGAGCTGAGTTGAATCAATTAACATTTGAACTTTCTAAAGGGGGCAAATTAGCATGAAGATGCAACCTCAAAAATCAGTGGTAGTGTAAAGTTCTGTTGGTTATCTAGTAATAAAGCACTAATATTCAATTTCATGTCAATAATGAACCACATTCTTCATACAACAGCAAAAACTGCTGGGTCAAAAACAAGAACAGTAAGAATCTACTAACAAAATAAAATGCATAACCACAGGTTGAAAGCATGTTTGAAATGAATCTCAATATACTTTGATAAAAGGGTGAACTCTTCTGGTAGACGTTTATGAGGGGGTGGGGGTCTTCCTGAAACAGCTATTCACAAGAAACAGGTGGAGAGTAGCATTCCTCCAGAAGGGCTGGTTTGTTAAATGTGCAGGCAGTCATTTTTTTTAAGGTTATTTAATACAAAAACTTAATATTGAATACATAAATATACATTAATTAGTGTGTAATTACATCTTCCAACAAACTGAGAAATTTTCATAAACTTAAGCTTAATCCTATAAAAATAGGGTCACCACAGAGTGTGCAACATTTGTGGAAGCTGTCATGTTCCCCTGACATCCTGACAATGGCTCATCAGGTGGTTGTAGTGTAGGAGGTAGAGCAGCTCATCTACGAATTGGAAGGTTGCTGGTTTGAGCCCTGGATGCTCCAGTCTCCAGTCTGGCTATGTATCCTTGGGCAAGAGACTGAAAAGTTGCTGTCCAATGCATTCATCAGAGTATGAATATGTGTAAATGTCAGCTAGAATGCCCTTAGGTGTAGAAAAAGTGCTTTCAATGGATGAATGAAGCATGTTAAATAAAGCACTTTGGCTGCTTACAGTAGAAGAGTGCTATATAAGAACCAGTCCATTTACTATTTACCAGATGGCTCCATGTGCTAATTACACATCTATTTACAAAATGTTAATTTTAAAGCTTTGACCAACCATGTTGGTCTACTACTTCCATTCATGAAATTTGCAAGGAAAATTGAACTAGTCATGACTCAACTTAAACATTTTACTATTTGTTATGATTAAAAGAAAAACTCCAAAATAGAAATCATCTGGTGAATGGCATGTTAAACAAAATGTATGTCTATTGTAAATCACTGCGCATTAACTGCACACGCAGTAACTTTTCATAGGGAAGGAGTTGATAATCAGTAAGCTCACCTAAGAATAGCAGTTTTTAGTTTCAAAGTAATTCGTGAGAGCTGCCAGGAGACGGTTACATGTCAGAAGGGAGCTGTCAACAGACAATTAGTGGACTTAAAAGTCTAAAGAAAACAAAAGAGCATTATTTAGCGGGTTTAATACACCTTACTGTGCTGAAGCATATATTACAGGGTAAATATCGGGCAGCAGAATCTACTTTGACCTCTCGAGTATGACGAGGACAAATGGTCCCCTAAAGTTTTCTCATAAAAATAGTATCAATGTTTATCCTGACTGACAGCAGATGCTGATTTTTAACTTACTTCATTGCGTCCTCCAGCTTTCTTTAACCCAGATATTGTATCATGAATATCTCCGTCATTGTGACTGAATAAGAAGACGCACACACACTCCTATACATATAAATTATGTCTGTTTTAATATCTTAGTGATTTCAATTTTTTAAAATGTACTGTTCCATTTATTAATGGCTGTATGTATTTATTTGTTCATTCCCTGTGAAGAACCTTTACATGTGATTTTGGCATAAAGAAATAAAACTGCCTTGACTTTAACCTGAATTTTAACTGTTAAAATTTATTTAAACTTTACCAAATAGTCAAGGCACAAAAATTGCCAGATTATATTTGTAAAAAAAAAAGAGAATGCTCTGCTATTTATGAAAGATTCAGCTCTCATTTATAGGATCTACTCAAGTTAACACATTGCCTCTGAAGTCTGCAGCCTCTCCTGTGAGACTGAGAAAGAAAGCAGCTTTACTTCTTGCTTTCTTTGACCAGTTGTTCCACTTCCTTCATGAAGCGCAGGCAGAGCTCATCCTGCCACGGCAGAGCAACACACTGAACCGCCACAGGTAGACCCTCACCACCAGTCACTGCCTGAACACAAAAACACACTCCTGTCACTTAACGCTCAGCAGCTGGACCGCAGTCTTCTGCCTCGAGCTGACTAACAAATTGTGGAACATTTAATAAAGTTCATGTATAACTGAGAGTCAATAAATTACAGAACCACAAGAAAAAAATGTCTCAATCGTCTGATCTTTAGCTCTTGGTTCCATGTAGGATAGATGGGCCTACCCACCACCACACCTGAAATCTTCCTGTGTGTAGTCAGTGTAGTTGAAAGTTGTATTCATTTGTTTAGAAATTTTAAAACTGCATGAAAAACTGGTCTCACAGTAAATGTGTTCAATCCGTCTCCCCACACTGGTATGTGTTACCTCTTTGAGGGACTTGTCAAAACTGTCCTGATAACAGCCCTTATAGTGTTTTAGTTCCTCCTCATCCTTCGCAGTCACTGTGGAAACAGTGACTACACCCGCAGGAAATTTTAAGAGATTGTAGAGCATCGTGCAACTGACAGCAGCTGAAATAACAGAAAATACAAGTAGATTAGTTATGATGAAATATTTTAAGACAGATTCACTTTTCTTTAGCCCTTCAAAATTCTGTTGCTCTTTAATTAACATGTGATTTATTTAGTGTAACAGTGCCTTTATATTATTATTTGTCCAAATGTTCTAATCTACAGGTGACTTTCCTAATTGACTAATGTCTGGAGATATTGTTTTTCTTCACTCTCTGCCTTTTTTAATCATGCGTGTTAGCACTAGAGAAGGGCAGCAATCCTAATTTTTTATGAGATAATTGTTATGTGATCCCAAATCCCAGGAACTATGCTGCCACCTAGGAGCATTTCATACATCCACAAACTTATCCTGAGATTACAATAATGAAAAAAAGAGAGAGATAGATGGACAATAATGCTTTTTTTTAATACTCAGTATACCATACTTGAAACTTTGTCAGCGTGCAATAACCTGCTGGCTGGCCCTATCATGGGGGACAACAGCACATCAATATTGCAGCTCCTCCAATGTGCTATTGTCTCTTGAATATAGTCCTAAAGAAAAAACAGGAAATTTTACTTGATCCTTTATACAACTGCGATTCCAAAACATTTGGGAGACTGTGTACAATGTAAACAAAAACAAAATGCAGTGATTTACAAATTTTGAAATATTTAAACTGAGAAATTTTAATATCTATCCATTCATTTTCTTCCACTTATTCAGGGCCGGGTCACAATGTTAGCAGCCTAAGAAGCAAAGCCCAGACCTCTCTCTCCCCAGCCACCTCCTCTAGTTTATCCGAGGGAACAACGAGGCCTTTCAAGGCTAGCCAAGAGAAATAACCTCTTCTGCATGTCCTGGTTCTACTCTGAGGTCTCCTCCTATGTTGATCTGTGGAACCAGCACTCCAAAACAGGAACTCTAGATAAATAGTCTAGTCTCTGATCCTATGAGTATTACACAGCAGGCAGTGCAAGGCTTGGATGGAACCGATGGCTGAGGGGAACTGCCCAGTCCTTCTTGAGGTTGGAGGCAATGGGAATGGGATAATGGGATAACCTTTTATAATTCAGACATACAAAACAAACAAACAAATATATTCGCATACACATATACATAGATAGCTGAATATATATATGTAGCCATACTGAGTCCATTAATATTTTATGTTTATCAACGAATTGCCCATAGCCTCACGAAACCCTGCTTGTTAATGAAAACCTTTTCCAGTATTTTGGAGAATTGTGAAAGTCTGTACATGTAATTTGTGATTTCCATTTTTGTACAATTGTATCACTTTTGTGATGTTAATGCACCAGTTTGTAGAGAGAATTCGCACATTTATGCTTAAAGCTTTAGAGATGCCATTAATAGTTTATTTAACAATTTTTGTATCACGGCCATTAAAGTCTGTAGAAGTTTGATTTTGTGGTTTCCCAACAATGTCCATGATTTTCTTTTCTTCCACAGCTGATACAAACATTGAAGTTTGTCTGCTCTCGCTGCAAAACTTCTATCAGTCTGGTCCAACACTTACAAAGAATCTATTAAATTCATGAACTACTTCACCAACATCACTAATATTTGTATCCTTATTAATACCCTATTACACAGGGTAATTTAAATGCCTAGACCTATTTTATAATGGTGTTTAATGTTTTCCAAATCCCTGTTAATGTTTTTCTTCATGTCTAATAAATTTGCACAATTTTTGTCAAAATACTATTTAATTTACATTTTGTTATATTTATTTTCAGCTTTTTAATTTCATATGGTATATATGGTATTTTTCTTTTTACAGGCATTTTGTAATCCTATTGTGATCCATGGGCAAACTGCATATTTTTCTTTGTTGCAGTATTGCTTTATTAGTCAATGCTTGTCATATAATAATTTAAATTTTCCTAAGAATGTCTCATAAGCTTTATCAATATCCCTTTCCTTATACACTACCTCCAAATTTCCCCTCAAGTAGGTCACTTTTAAATGCATTCATGGATTCCTCTGTTCTCACCTGTTTTATTTTAATTTATTTTCCTGTTTGTCATTACTATGATTGTTGTCATATACTGGAAAAAATGCACAATGATCACTGATGTCACTAATTAGAAGGCAATTTTGTTTTCTGATTCATTAGTTAATGTTCAGTCTATTAATGTTTTTCTGGACTTATCACATCTGTGTTGAAATCCCCATAAATAAAAAGAACTTTTTGGTTTGATTTTGTATCCACCCACTCCTTAAATGCTGGTTTACCTTAAAACCTTAGATGGTTTTCTATATATGTTGTCCACCAACATAGTCATTTTTTCTACCACCTTGTACATTTTCTGTTCACAATAGGTATCTCATATCCATACCTACTGCATCTTACCTTCATACCTTAAGATTCTGTCTTTACTTTTCACCCACTTTTAACTAGAGCAGAGGTTACTTCATTAACATCACTTCATTGCATTCTCTACTTTTCTATGTTGCACTTTAACATGATTTATCAAACATTCTATCACATATGAATATTAAATCACAATATGAATATACTTCCGTACACGTTTATTCAGTTTATGCTATTTTTCTTCACTAGGATTTATTAATAGTTCAATATATGAATATTAATTTCAACGCGATTTTCATCAACTTATTCACATAGGACTGCTTTTCTTACTTTTTATTTATAACTATGCCAATCACAATATACACAATATAAGTGTTTTGTTTGTTTTTTAAATCACACATGTTAAAATCTGACATTCTCTTGTTTACTTAGTCAATTTGACCAAGACAGGCTCTGGGCTGTGTGCCATGTTTGCATACCCCCTGGGTACAAATAACACCAACAAAGACACACACGCACACACACGCCCTTGTTCCCAAATATTTACTTCTCTGTGACCCTCAGGCTGCAGAATAATCACTCTTCCCTCTGGGTGGTGGGTCTGGTATTCTTGGCCATTGGTCCCTGCTTCTCTCCCAGCTTGGATTGTTTTTGTGATGCAGCGTCTAGTCTTCTTTTTTTATTTTTATTCTTCTTATCATTTTCACTGGGCTCCATAAACTACAGAGTTTGTGACCTTCCGATCTTGCCTAATTTGGCATGTGGGAATGCAGATCTGCTGCTGTCTGCCAGTGGCTCTCTGTCTCGACTTACTGGCTACATGGCCCAGTGTGTCATAGACCTGCCCCAATTTCCACATGAACTCTTCTGCTCTTCTGCTGTTTTGTCCATCAAATGAGGGATTTTCTCCACTGATGCGCAGATATCTTCTCCCACCTGCAGACATTACGCAGGGTGACCCATGCCTCCTGAGTCACTATCTCTTGGGCCCTCAGACGGAGGCCACATGCGGGCCACTGTGATGACGTTATTCTGCTCCAGCACCAGTTTCTGTGGGTCTATACACCAATTTCTTGGCTGGAGCCTCCCTCGATTTGGCTTCTGTGGACTGCTTCAGCCACCTTCTCCTTCAAAAAATGCCATTCTCGCCCTGGATTGGTTCCCTGAAGGCCCTCTTCTATACTAATTTTCACATTTGCATCCCCCACTCTCTTGTCTCCTCTTCCTCTGCGTACATTCACTCAGTGTTGTTGACCTTGAACCTTTCTCTCTCTGACTTTTCACCCACTTTTATCTCTGAGGTATCTATGAGCAGTGTTGGGGAGTAACGGAATACATGTACCGCCGTTATGTATTTAAAATACAAAATATGAGTAACTGTATTCCGTTACAGTTACCGTTTAAAAAGGTGGTATTTAGAATACAGTTACTTTGTTGAAATAAATGGATTACACGGTGGTACTTCCCTGTTTCATATTGTTGCGGGTCAGGACTGTTTGGGTTTTGTTTGACAGCTATGGTTACCATGGTTACAGGGTGACGCTCTCTCTCTGCGTGTTTCCTGGGTGAGAGAGGCCTTTTTGTTGTTTTTGTGCTAAGCTAACAGGCAGAATGCTACAGGTATAGCTCTAAAGAATGTAGCATCATGGGCAGTGTAGTCCGTGCTGCAGGGAGAATGGACTGCCATACACGTTATGTATCTGTGAGCGAGGGAGGGAGAAAAAGGAAAAGTACGAGCTGTCATCGAGCAAAAATGGGAGCTGGAAGCATGTAAATATAATAATAACCACTGCAGCCAAGAAGAGTGCCTGATGAGCCCAGTTGTAAGTAAGCTGTTAAGACTCGACTGTACGCTGTGTTCGTGTTTTCCTCCGAAACAATAAGTTCCGTTGGAGCAGCCTTTCAACGCCTCTCTGTCTCTCACTAGCAAAGTTGACCCAGACAACAAAGTAGAGCTATTTTTCGGCTACGAGCCCGAGGTATTAGTCAGAGGTCCCTTTACTACGGTGTGGAACAGCAATAGTATATTCACATAGTTGTAAACAGCATGATAATATATTAAGTAATCCAAAGTATTCAGAATACGTTACTCTCATTGAGTAACGTAACGGAATACGTTACAGAATACATTTTGGGGCATGTATTCTGTAATGGAATACATTTTAAAAGTAACCTTCCCAACACTGTCTATGAGGCAGAGGTTACTTCATTAAAATCGCTTCATTACATTTTCTTCTTTTCTATATGGATATTAAATCACACATGAAAATACTTCCCTTCATGTTTAACTCACTTGCACCTGTCTGCTACAATGCCTCCTGCACCTTTTCGAATGTTTTTAATTTTTTCATGAAAAACATTACCTTATTTTGTTTTTGATGACAGCAAAAACAGACCTAAAAAAGGTGTAAGGGGGTCAACAAAAGCCAAAAGATATGTGAAAAAAGAGAAATAAAGATGGATGGATGAAACCAATGCAGCTAATTAGCTCAGTATCATGACTCTGATGGAAAAATAAAGTATTTCAGAGAGGCAGAGTTTCTCAGAAGCAAAGAAAACTGCATCTACATATTACAGAACAATTTCAAAATAATATTTGTCAATGTAAAATTGACAAACAAAAAGACTTTTAACTATCTCATTATCTACAGTACATTATCATTAAATGATTCAGAGACTCTGGTGAAATCTCTCTGTGCAAGGGACAAGGCCAAAAGTTTGTGTTTGTGAACTTTGGGCCCTTGGGCAGCAGTGCATTAAAAACAGGGATGATTTTGTCATGGAAATCATTGCTTTGGCTCAGCAACATTTCCAGAGATCACTGTCTGCGAACACAGTTCGCCATGCTATCCACAAATGAATCTTATGTGTTGTCTCTATACGATCACTCATCTGCCTGCTGTCCTGGATGTTTGGCTGCTAATCTTTGTTATATAACTTTTTCTTTCCACACTGCCAAACTCAGTGTCGACAGCGTTGTTCTAGTTCACTCATCTTCTAGCCTGTCCACTCAGAGCTCCATGCAAGCCTCCAGCTTCATCTTCACCACTACCATATTCTACTTCTAATTCCTATCACCTCTAAGATTCTGCTATGATGGGTCAATCGCCAAACCAGTAGCTGAACTCTGTATCTCAGTAAATCATGTTCAATTCTTCCAAATGAGCTGTCGCTATTGCAATACAGCTTAAAGCTCTAAAGCTCATGCAAACAGGAATTCATATTTGAACATAATCCATAAACACCACCACCACCTTCTTTGGGCCAAACCTCTTTAGAATGGACTGACACAAAGTGAAAGACTGTTTTGTGGCCAGACAAATCACAATTTGACATTAGTTTTGAAAAACATGGATGCGGCATCCTTCGGACTAAAGAAAAAGGAAGCATCTGGTTTGTTATTAGTGCTCAGTTCAAAAGCCTGCATGTTTCAGTGCCATGGCATTGGCAGCTTGCATATCTGGAAAGACACTTTTTAATGCTGAAAGTTGTGTACAGGTTTAACCTTCACAGACATATGTACAGGTTTAGGTTTAGAGGAACATAAAACTTCCATTAGAATGATATTTTCTTGCTGAAGATATCTGAGCAAGTCAATGCTAAAGTGTATATTGCAGCTATTACAATAGCATGGCTTTGTAGTAGAAGAATCATTTTTCTGAACATGGTATACATTATTTTTTCAGTTTGAATATTAGATTTGTTTTCTATGTGCTATTGTGGATAAATGTAGGTCGGTAAGATTTGCCAATCATTGCATTCTGTTTTAATTTACATTATACACAGTGTCGCACCTCTTTTGAAATTGTACTGTGATACTCAACCATGCATCATTAGTTGAAAGTTAAAGTTACCTCAACAGCAGCATGTTGCTTCCACAGATCGGAAACAGATCTAAAAAATAAAGCATTATTTTGTGACTTTGCCCATCACATGTATTATATGAAAAAAGAATCACGTACAGATGATGAATTTCAACAATACTTTCTCACCGAACTCCACAAATAGCACTCACGTTGGAAGACAGACGAGGTGACTGCAAAAAACAAGTGAACATTATTGACTGGCCTGCACAAAGCCATGGCTTTAATCCCATTGAAAATCTGTGAGTTTACACATTCTGGCACTTTACAACATAGGCTCTATCAGATAAAAGTTCCAAGATTATGTTCAGTCCTGTGCTTGAATTTACACATGTTTGTCACCAAATGAGAAAACTCACCACAGGTTTTAATAGGAAGGAAAGGATTTTCTTAAACCACTTAGGGAGCGAGTGTATGAAAACCTGCCGCTTCAGAGAAGGGTCCAGAAGTGCCCCTTTCCTAAAATGAAATAAATTATTTACACACACAAAATAACTGTGTTGACACTTAATGACATGTAATGATTTTAGTATTCTAGTTTATCATGCTAGCACCTGCAACTTAGCACTGAAAAAAAATCATACATTTATTAGATGTTTTAAGTTCATGAGAAGTGATTAGATGAATTATTAAAAGGTACAACTCACAGTTTTTGTAGAAGGGTGGTAGCACCATCTGCATATACACCCGTTATTAATAGCTCAGGAACAATTTGGCTGATTTTCAGTGGAGAGTAAGGAACCAACTAAAGGCATAAAAGAGAACATTAAAGATGTATGGCTCATATCAAATACTAGGCAGTGATTATTAGTGTGTGTGTGTGTGTGTGTGTGTGTGTGTGTGTGTGTGTGTGTGTGTGTGTGTGTACATATTTAGACATCTTTGTGAGGACAGAAAATTGGCACGCGACTATACTTGTGGGGACCAACGGTCACTTATGGGGACAATTTGACCCGTCAGTGTATGAGTTACTGACGGGTCAAATTGTCCCCAACAATATCTATGTAACATAAACATGCAGAGAGATTTTATTAGTTCATTACACTCTTTAAGCCAAGCAGAAGAAGTTTTATATAAAAAAAATTACTTTTAACAATTTTAGATAGCTTAACTTTTAAAAGGGTCAGTTTGGACACTGTCTCAGCTGAACTCTGGACACGCACACACATACACATACACTGATACGCACTCACTCATCCCCCCTCCCTTTCCAAACGTCTTCGATGCTTGTTCCCTCCTGGGAACACGGCGGGTCAGGGCCTGTGCTGGAATAATAGCGCAGGGCAGGATGGCTGCTGCGTTTGCTTTGGATTACTCTTCACACACCCCCCCCATGTTGTGCTGTGGACATTTATGTGCTTTTTGTGCAGAGGAGGTTTTTTTTGCTTCCTGTTCTCATGCTGTCCTCCCAGGAGCCCAGCATGAGCAGAGGTCTCTTTTTTTCCTCTTGTACTTTCCCATTGTAGTGTGTATTTCACGCTACCGATCTCCGACCTGTATCCCCATGTGATGTCTGTGTTGTGTGTGTAAGGTCGGGGGCGTGTGTGTGTGTGTGTGTGTGGGGGGGGGTCCCATTTCACAGCAGGGCAACGTGCATGTGGCGAATAAAGCCTTGATTGATTGATTGATTGATTGATTGATTGATTGTCCTGTAACATAACAGGGGGTTCATAACAATTCAGGACAGTATCGATTACATGTGTGTGGTGACGTCTTACTGTGTGCCCTGCTTGCTCTAACAGAGCTTTGACCTCTCTGACACCTCGGACCATGCTTGGAGACGGTTGCAAGTAGCCATCATTTTCCAAATAACCAATCCTAAGAGGTCTGGAGCTTCTGTATATCTGTAGATGAGAACAGAATTATTAGCCCACCAAAGAAAATTTCAGCTTTTTAAAAGTATTCCCAAGTGCTGTTAAGAAGAGCAAGGGATTGTTAACACGGTTTTTTCCAAGCATCTTAATTTTATTTTAGATGGTTACATTATTTTACTTTGGTCTTTGTTTAAACTCACAGATTTTCAATGGGATTACAGCCATGGCTATGTGCAGGCCAGTCAATAACGTTCACTTAACAAGTGGGAGGCACATATGCAAACTGCTGTAATTTCTACACCGTTCACCTGATTTGGATCTAAATACCCTCAAATAAAAGCTGACAGTCTGCAGTTAAAGCACATCTTGTTCGTTTCATTTGAAATCCATTGTGGTGGTGTATAGAGCCCAAAATGTTAGAATTGTGTCGATGTCCCAATATTTATGGACCTGACTGTATGCAGAGTCATAGCGAATGTTTTCTTTGAGATTACAATTCCAGGCTTGGTTAAGACATTCACTAGTGTCTTGGCTAAGGTCTTTAGACATATTTCTCACTAGTTTTCTTCCCAGAATCAATTAAATCTTTCAATTTTCACCTCTGCCAGGCTTGTTCTGTACTCTGTGGCTCTCTTTGAATTTCTTGATACTTCTGACTCCACATTGTGACACTTGGAAATGCTGTGATAACTTTGTATAACCATCTCATCCTTTGCAAGGATTAACAATTCTTTTTCTCAAGTTTAAAACTTTATTTATGTATTTATTTGCTTTTTTTTTTACATGATGCTTTCTCAACAGCTCAAACCCTTCCTGAGGTTTTTGTACTGTAAATTGGAAAATAGCCCTCAGTTTTAACTTGACTTGAAGAGCTTTGAACATTACAAATGCAATGACTTTTAAAAAGGTCAGCTTTTCCGGGGGTTATTATATTATTGGCCCAGGTTAATTCTGTTGTATTTCTGCTACCGTTCAAAGATTGTGTGTAAACAGAAATAGTGTATGTGTTCAAAAGAAAACCGGTATATTTAGAAAATGTTGAAAATCCTTTGCTCTCATAAAAAAAAAGCACTTGGAAATGTTATAGGAAGACTATTAACTTTGTCCTTTAGAACTTCGTCTTTTAGCATAGAGAGATGTGTTAAGAAAATTAACTTGATTAATTTCTAGTTTCTAACATCTATGAATGACCTGAAAATATATAGAAAAGATGATCATCAACAGAGGACATGAATCCCACAGTACAGGACACACCTCCATGTTAAAAGGTAATGGTGGAACAGTGGGGTCCAAAGAAAACATGTGGTCACAAAGAAGCGCCTGCATGCACAGAGCCAGGCTGTCCACATCTCTTGCCATGGGTCCAGGAGATGACGACACTAGTTTAGTAGCAAGCATAAAGCAAATGTTTTGAACAAAATGTTCCAGAAAATTTATTAGACACTGGTTATATATAATCTGCATTTACTTCATGTGCTAGTTTCTTACCTGACTTTTGTCCTCGACAAATTGAACGAAAACCCTGTAAACTGTTCATTATCCAAAGGTGTTAACAAATAAAGAAACCTTAACTCATCAATTTACAATCATTTTCTATGACTAAAAAGGATCTACCTCAGTCGGTGAGCAGTTGGCTTGAAACCACAGATTCCACAGAATGAAGACGGAAGACGGATACTGCCACCTAGATCAGTGCCTATACCAAGCAGGGAGCCCCCTCCCCCAATGAGAGCCGCCTCCCCACCAGATGAACCACCAGGAGTCTTCTGGGGGTTATGAGGGTTCACAGTCTGCCCGTAGATAGGATTACTGCAGTCATAGCTAAAGGTGGACGCAGACAAACAAAGACAGGTTATGAGTCTTTACATAAAATACACACATGGAAGATGCAAATGGTACATGTATTGGTTCTTATATAGTGTGTTTCTACTCTATCAGGGGACTTAAAGCACTCTCCTCATTCACCCATGAGTACACAGAGTTTTTAACTGTGTTATAATTTGTTTTAAATTTGAATTCTTGATTAAAAATGTACCTCATGAGGGCTTGGGCCAAGTTGGTTCTCACAAAGGGAATAGCTCCTTGTTTCTTCAGGACTTGAACAAGCACACTGTCCTTTTCAGCGGGCTGGTCCAGGTTAATGACCACACCACAAGAACAGTAATGATCCTTGTGAAGTAAATTAAAGAACACAAGAGTGCATCAAAGACTACACAAATGCCATACCTTAATATTTTGAAAAACTGTAAGTGAAATTCAGAGATCATAAATAACATTATTATTAAGACCTTAATTTATACAGTATTCTCACTGAGATTGAGATCTCTTTCTAAAGAGGGACCTGCTTACAAAAAATGCCAAGAAATTGAGAAAGATTAAACAACACAGTAAACGTGATCACAAATTAACAAAGACATGTGTCTAAAACCTTTTTAAATTATCAAATGAAATCAAAGATTGTAACATCATAGTTTTTGTGTAGTTCATTTAATTCATAGGCAGCAAACCATTTAAAACCAGCTTTTCCAAGTTCTGTGGAAATAAGAAGTAGAGTCAGTATTTATGTGTTGCTCATGATTTATAAAATTAACTGTTTTAATTCTAATACTTGGTAAAATGGTAAATGGCGCTTTACTTAGTCCCTAAGAACCCCGGAGTGCTTTACACTACATTCAGTCATCCACACACTGGTGATGGCAGCTACATTGTAGCCACAGCTGCCCTGGGGCGCACTGACAGATGCGAGGCTGCCGGACACTGGCGCCACCGGGCCCTCTGACCACCACCAGTAGGCAAATATGGGTTAGTATCTTGCCCAAGGATATTGTGAAACTGCTTGCTCACTGGCTAAGTCCAGTTTCACATTTAGACCCACTCCTCCATGTCAGGTTTAGCTTTTTGCAACCAACTTGGCAATGGTGGAAAAGTTCATCTTGAGGTTGGACTCCAGAAAGCAATGGTTGGTGTCCTAGCTGCATTCGTCCATTATTATACTGCCTATAGCGTAACTGCCATTTGTTTGCACTACAAATACATTAATTTATTAAATTATTCTTACCTTAAATGTAATATTTTCTTTGATGCTAACTGGAACTCCGTACAAGAGACCATCCTTGTTGGAGCCAACAGTTGTCAGCTGGTCCAAACTCTCCAGCAAAATTTCAGTGCAGCAGTTCAGCTTTTGGTTTACAGCCAGAGTCTGTTGGAAAGGAAACAAGCACAGACAGACTGAGATTAACTTATTTGCTTTAAAGGGATACTGATCTGTGTAAGCGCTCTGTAAAATATTAAACTCTCACTGGAAAATAAAATAGATTACTTAGTGTTTATGCTAGCTAAAATAAACTGGTGTATATATTGTATTTCAGTCAACCTTCAGATAGAAAGATCTGTGTTATGTTAGGCAGTGAACTCTTGTGTCATGCTGGATAATGAACCTTTTCCATGTAAGAGTAAAGCACATTGTCAGGGTTCAGTGAGCCGTCCTTCAGCTGCTGTGTCAGCTCAGACAGGGAGAGCTTCAGGATCAAAGCAGAGTCAGTCGTGGGATGCTAGAAGACACAGACCCACACAGAATCATTATGTTATAAAAATTTATAAAGCTGTAAGAAAGAAAGAAAGAAAACCATATCAGTGTATAGATTCAGGACTCCTACTTCCTGTACTTCTGCACAATTGTAAAGTGTAGAAGTAAATTTAAATCTAATTTGATATACAAAGAGGTGTTTACAAAGGTTATAAAGCTAGTTATGTAGCTATTTGGTGGTTACGTGTTTTGATATTTACATGTTTACACGTTTGAATGTTTAGACATGCATGTTCAAACCAGTAATATGTGTTATATCTACCTAGTTGTTTTCCCTGTTCTGATCTGAGTTCAAGATTTCCTGGCTTCTGAGAGGCCAGTGAAGTATTCATGAGGGCGGTACACAGAAAGTGTGAGTTGTTGCGGTGTGCGGAGAGTAAAGAGGCTGCTAAAAAGTTATCCGTCTCCATCTTGCTGTTCCTAATTATTCAGAGAGATTCCAAACCATCTAGTGAGCCCTCGCGTTACACAATCACCAGATTTCTACGGTGGCCCCTAGAGACAAAGCACGCACAAAATCCAAAACACTTACAAAAGTTTTGGATTTTGCAAGTGTTTTGGAGTTTGTGCGTGCTTTGTCTCTAGGGGCCACCACAGATCCAACAGAGCAACTTTAGGGTGAGGTGGAACAGGAGACGTGCAGCTGACAAACCGCGTGTGTGAAGTTATGTGTCAACTTGGGCCAACAAAACAAATCCAGAAGAGCAGCATAATATTAATGTGTTTCTAAGTTTTTGTATGCATGTTGACAACAAAAAGTGTCAGTAATTTGGAAATTAATAACTAAACCTCCGCCAGGCTTAAACTAAAAGCACATCATTTGTTTTGATTTCTATCTAAAGAAAAAGTTAAACATTTCAGTGTTTAAAGCTCTGAACTCTCACCGACTGTTTGTACCGGAGCACCGCCTGCTCTGCGCGCTGCAAGCTCTTATCTCTCCGGTTTCTGGCTCTCTGTATCTTTTCCTCTGCCTGTCGGAGGCTGTTGATCTTTTTCACCCGCACAACCAGGTATCCCACAATGCAGGCAACACCAGTGAGCAGAGCCGCTGTCCACTTGTCCATCTTCACTCTCTTAATAAACAGTTCAGTGTTCTGCGTGGCTTTCGTCTTTGCCCTGTGGCTGCAAAATGCAAAAATCCAAGCGGACCTAACACACAGCTTTTTAAACACGACAGGCTATCTTGTTTTAGCTGTGGGCGTGTTGTGCATGTACCGTGCCTTAATTTAGGGGTGGACAGTTCATTTACCCGACGCACCGCCAATTGAAGCACCGCTGCGCACTGTACCATACACGCACCATTCTAGCCCATTCGTTCATTTTCTTTGCCGACACTGTAATACCCAATCAAATCTCTTAATGACACTTGGGCCTCTCCTACCTTCGCTGTGACTTATTGAAGAGTTTAGTGTGAAAACTTTCAGCTGAAAGGCTAAGACAGAAAAAGAAAATGAAAGTAAAAATGAATTCAGCGCAATGTGTGACATTAAAAGACATATTAGCTGTGGCACCAGCCAATGCCTCACAGGCGTGTATATATACACGTGTGTGTGTGTTTGTTTACATGTGTACATAACATGATACCTATCAGTAGAGAAGTGCCACAGTCAAATACTAAAAAGGTAAAAGGTAAAAAAAGAGAGTCATTTATTGCCTTTATAACATATTTTCATTCATAATACTTTGTTGAAACATATTCTGTGGGGTAAATATCATAGTATGTTAATTATTTAAAAAAATGAACACCAGCTACCTTGACCTCAAAAACACATTTTCAGAAGATTGGTATTATTATCTTGCTTCTCATTAAACAGTGACAGCTCATTGCCACTGATTAACTAAAATACACATGTACAAACACACACACAGGGCCGTGCAGAGAGGTTTAAAGGGGCGGGTGCCCAAAGTTAAAA